AAAACCACTTTTTGAAAAACGTGTCAGTATTAGTACCTCATGGGTGACGTAGAAATCTATTGAAATATTTCCACTTAATAAATTTAAAAAAATTTATTTTTAATAAATTTTAATAAATTTTTTTAAATTTTAATAAATAGGGAGAAGAACCTACTCATAGAACCTAATCAGATAGTGCCGCTCCTAACGCTCGGCGGCGCTGGCCCTAGCGGCTGCGGCGCGCGCGGTAAGGAGAGGAAAGGAGGCGTATACCACGGAAATCGGCTGAAATGTTCAGACTAATTCCGAGCACTGGTTTACTTCATCAAATAAAGTAAAACGTGAATTTCGCTTTTAATTCGATGGGTGACAATTCGAATTTCTGTGATTCATTGATATACGTGCCTTAATAATAATTCTTGTCTTAATGGCCACTTCTTCCATCTCGCCTAAATGAAAAACAAATATTACACTGCTATTCAACGACACAAAATCCCGTTCACCACGCTAAGCGATCTGTCACTTTCTTTGACGCAGTTTATGGTGTACACGGGATAGCGTTCGTGGATTTTCTAGATGCACGCTGAGGGCGCGCCTTGATCCATCCAAGTATCTTGGGTCAAGAATGTGCATTTAATCACGCCGGGCACTTAGACACCCTAGAATGCAGGGTGATTTCGTCGGTTCTCGAAGATCGCGGAAGATAAAATGGGAAAATAAAAAGAGAAAAAAATGAGAGAAGATTGTGAAGTATTTTAGAGGGAAACAGGCTGTTACATTAGGCTACGACTGCGACCCACTTTGGGTCGGGCAACTAGGCTCATACATTGAAACTTAACGGTACCGGGATGCTTCGCCTCGCCTGACATCAATTCGTTCTTCGATATAATGCGGCATACGCTGTATACGCATTAGCGGTGTTTTGCAATCGTTTATAAAACCGCGATCGTGAGAGAATTCAGAATTGGAATTTATTCCGCGGGAAGATTTTCTACCCCGTCAGACCTTTTGACAGCCGCAAAAAGAATGTATAATAATATTCACCGCGCACAGCGCTATAAAATGTCGTTTCTCAACTTTTGTTCGGATCTCATCGACAAATTCCGCTTCTTACTTTATTCTTTATCTTAATTAATTTTGTAATTGAAATTATTACTACAATACGTTACTACATATTATTTTACTGTAGAGATCTAACATAAGAAACCTACCTGAGAGGTTTTCGTAAATACTTGGAATTCTATTTTCGTCTGAAATTCCATATCTTATTTCGCGGAGAGGACGCTTCTTTAACTTCCTCCGGCGTGCGCTGCTCCTTCGCGGCTAACTGTATTGCACGACCGTATGAATCATTGTCAAAGCAGACTTCTGTCATTCCGTTATACGCTTCTGATATTCCCGACTTTTTAAGTTTAACATGACATCTGTTTTTATTTATCCACTTTCCGTTCTGGTAACATAATGCGTCGAAGACCCAGAAAAGACTCCTGTTAGCTGATAAACAATTAATGAACGATTTTCCGTTTTCTACAATATCATAACTGTTTCGAGAACAAATCGATCCCATAAATAGGGTCTTAACAAATTCACATTCTAGCTCTATAAGTTTTATAAACAATGTAGTATCATCAAACCAATAACTTCCGCAGATCCTTATTAACAAGATATTACGATCATCGTTCACGTAAGCACCCGGTATTTGCGCTTATCATAATTTCGCCGCGCCGGAGCTATCCGTCATATTCGCGCTGCATTTCCTTTTTGATTCCGTCTCGCAATTATGTGCCGTTTACGCCGTTTCGCGTCTTCCATCATCCGCGAGATCGCGGTTGAACGCTCGGCAAGACCATTAAGAGAGAATTATAAGCAGATACGTTGACGATACGAGAGCGAAGTGTTACAGGCGGGAATGTGGAACGTATATCGTGAATGAACAGTTATAGACACCGGGTGAAGGTTGATATACACTTTAAGAGAACACGGAAGCATTTATCTAACCGCCGTCGACGGCCACGCGGAGGGAATTCCTCCTGCAGGCACATCTCTTCCTAACGTTTCATTTCACCAGTTCTTTCCCCCCGCGGTGCAGCAGTCTTTACTTTCGCATTAGATTTTAGCGAGATGATCTCTCGCGAACGGAAGGATTCCGTCTATCACTTGAGACAATCGCGTATCGTTGTGAGGCATCGCGCGAGAGTTCCGGCGCATTATCTTTATGTAACATTAAATGAAAAGATAGTGATTCAGTGAGGAAAACACTTATTATTTCGAGCGTGTAGAAATCAAGGAGCTAAGAATAATGCAATATAAATATATTAATAATATTTTTTTCCGTTGTACGCCGCGTCGAGAAAATACGAAATTGATTTATCGATAAATGTAATGGCAACCGTTCCTTCGTTCACTCTCGCAGGCACGGGAAGGAACATCAGGCATTTGCCCTGCGTGTCACGCAGGAGCGGCGAAACGGGCGTGTGCATGTTCGCGTTCACCTGCGCGAAGGCTAATGGCACGCACCTCGGCACCTGCATCGATCGCTTCTACTTCGGTAGCTGCTGTAAGATCGACGACGAGCCGGACGTCTTCCCGCAGGACAACAGCATCGACGACGGGCCGCCGCCGCCGCCGCCGCCAAGGCCATTCGTCACGACCCACGGGCCCATCGAGAGCAATGACATACCGAGCTACTTCGCGAGGCCGAAGCCGGCCGTAGATAAGCAGAAACCAGCCGAGGCCCTGCAAACCACGGCAAGTAGACGCTAATGAAGCAACGAACCAGCTTAGCACGTTTCGCCGGTGCGACGAGCGTGACAGCTTGAAATTCTTAGAGGCGGATCGATGGAATCGAAGTAACGTCCCGCGAGAATAACCACTCTGTCAAATCATCCGAAGCCTGGCGTCGATAAAATAGACGGTTGATAATAAATAATCCGCTTCCTTCTTGACAGATTAATTTGAGTCTTTTTATATTTTCAATACGCGAGGATTATCGCAATTTAATGTAGCTTCAGGAAGTGATAATAAAATTTTAGCGTGAATGACGGCGAGAGTGAAAGAGTTTAAATTGTGAAGAGCGAGACGTTTTATATTCTCATTTTATTCAGATATGTTATAATAACTTTCTCTGCGTGAGATCATCAGGATAGGCATAGTAGTTCGCATGACCTCACAATTGATTCATGATTCAAGAAAGAAAGTTGCTCATTAAACCGCTTAATCATCAGCACGCGGCAAAGTGTGCGTATAAATTGAATATGACATGCGGAAATTGTACTATTTTTTCGATCATTGATCGGATTAAATTAAATCCGCCCGAGTCTAAACGTTCATTTTTATAAACAATAAGATTCATACACTTGGTAGTTTTGATTCGAAAATTATTACGTATAAAATATCTTGACATATCAAATTTTTATTTCCTCTATAAAAAAAATATCGCAGAAGATTAATTTGTAATTGATTAAAAACAATTTGATTTTAATCAAATTGCGTAATTTCTAGAATAAATTATCCGTAGAATAACATTCTCCGCGTTAACACAATTAATTATCAATTAATAATTTTAATGTAACCATAATTCTGCGAATTTTAGACAACGCCCGTAGTCTCAAGCGTGCAAACTGCGCAAACTTCAGCGAGTACGTTGAGAGACACGACGAAGTTCGTGACAAAGAAGCCAACGATCACGACGATCGAAACGACCACGCAGACTACGCGTCTTTCAACATTCCAAACTGTGCAAAGCGCTACCTCTGGCTCCAGCACGGAAACTAGTTTATTGAAGAACGCCACTAGTACTGCAGTAAACAGGCCATCAAGCGTATCATCGAGCACAACGAGGCAACCTACGAGGCCATCCACTTTGTCTATCTTACGACCTAGCGCCGAAAATGCAACGAAGCTATCGATCACCGGATCGACAGATTCGTCGAAGATAACTACGAAAAAACCAGTTGCCTCCACGACGACGATACAGAGACCGACGACGGCGCAGATCTCTCAAAAGCCGTCTTCTTCGACAACACGCAGACCAATTGTTCAATCGACTACAACGAAAAGCGTTCTCACGACTACGCAAAAAATATCGCCTTCGACCAGATTCCCACCGAGAAATACAACGTCGGCCAAGCCACCGGTTCAGACGACTACCAGGAAGCCTATCAGTAGCACTAAGAGACCTACCACAACCGTAGTAATGAAGCGCCCGGTACCGACAACGAAGAAACCCACTACACTGACAAAGAGACCGACAACTCCATCGAAACCTCTCACGAGCTCCAGCTTTGGCACGACTTTGCCAGTGACGACGAAACCTCACTCGACTTCCGGATCGTCCATCAACGTCGGATCCTCCGTGACGTCTACAAGCGTCACGGAGAATACTCTAGCCTCCACAATTAGACCGTCGACCACGAAGACGACAGCTACGAGCGCGAGCAGTCAGAAGACTACCGTTACGACGAAGAGTCCGGAGCAGAAAATATCCACCACGACGACAACACCGAGGACTACCTCGAAAACGACGACGAAGACGTCGACGATTAGAACAACCACCGCCAAACCGACGACGACGATTCAAACAACGGCCAGTAACAAGACAACGACATCTAAACCATTATCGACCACGACGAAGACAAAGCCCACCAAAATCACTAGTACGACGACAAAAATCGCCCAGCCCGAATCCACCACGACCACCGAGAGAACGAGACCGTTGTCGTCGACCGTAGGGTCGACCGTAGGGTCGACCGTAGGGTCGACCGTAGGGTCGACGGTTGGCGTTACGAAGCCCAGACCCACCAGCACGGCGAAGCCGACGAAACCCTTGACGAAGGTCCCGGCGACTACATCCACCGTTGTGGAAGTTACAACGAGCATCTCGAGTTCGACATCCACGTTTACCGTTAGAAACGAGAGCACCTCGACCTACGTTCCTCCCACCAAGGGCCAGGATGTTAATAATACCCTCGAGGAGATCCCGCTGACCACCCATTCGCCAGGATTGGTGACGTGGAGCTCGAACTCCGATGAAGTTTCCACGAAGGTACCCGAGACATCTTCGTCAACGGTAGCTACATCGACAGGTAAGTGAAGCAAATGTTATCGAATAATTATTTCTCTTTCTGACTTTCTATATCGAAATATTGCGCGATTTTCTGGTAAATAATTTTACTTCACTACAATATTTAATTGCAATATTAAATTAATCGTGATATTAATTGTAATACGTTAATTGAGCTTTTCTCGCTACAAATGTACATTTTAAAGGAGTGAAAATATTCCATTGTTAACGATTAATTATTATTTTGCCGATCGGAAAGGAAAAGCGAAAGTGAAAAGGTACTAAATTTATTCTAACAATCAGCTAAACTCGCTTTCGCTATTCTTTGGCGTTTTAATGCATGCGACGTGCCGCACAACGTGGATCGCCATCATGATTTCCCACTGACGACAAGGGCGTCGCGTTACACAATGAACGTCCGTTTTCTTTGATTTCACTGATTTAGCATACAGACACAGAACGAATAAAGCTGCTAATCACGTTTCCGATAATTCCTCGAAGATAGATTGACGTCGACGAAGGGAGCATATTTAAATTTGCAACTGCGTATCGTCAAATAAAATATGCGCTGCAAAGATCTATTAAATCGTCTAATAAAGATTGAAATAATTTTTGAAATATCGGAAATAAAATAACTTCTCAGAATTTGTAAAATCTATAGATTTTGGAATATCTTTTAAATATTTAAAATATATTTTCAATATACACTCACCCGAAAAAAAGCGGTACACTGAAAATGTGGGAAAAATTCATCAAATTTCAACTGACGATAACTTCGTAAATAATAAAGATAGAAAGTTCTATAAAATATGGAAATGAAGCTAAAAATCTCTACTTTAAGAATCAATTTATTTCAATGTTGCAAAATAAATTTATTGAAAATGGCGGATGACAAAGCGCGAGCATGCAAAATTGAAAAATAATGGTTCGAGTTTGCGACGGTGCACGGTATAAACAAAAAATTGTAGCTTATTGGGATCAAAAGCGTACGAAAGTACAGAGTCTCC